TTTTTTTTTTTTTTTTTTTTTTTTTTTTTTTTTTTTTTTTTTTTTTTTTTTTTTTTTTTTTTGGCACGAGGCAGTCGTCACTTCACTATTTCTTTATTTTCTGGCAGTGTTTTTATGCTGACATGAAACATCTCAGAGATGACAAAATTTGAACTTTGCTTTTTCCTAGAGTGATCTGATCCTTTTACAAGGACTCATCAGTCACGGTCAGGACTGATGTAAGGCACTATGTATGTGAAAGCTGAAAGTTGTTTTGTTTTTAATTCCCTAGCAGTATCTCAGTTTACTAAGCTGGTTCTGAAATGTGCAAAAGCTTGTATTTCGAGCAGATGAGGATCCCCTTCAGAAAGGGATTAAATGAGTTAATGGACAGAGGACTCATAAATTGATTAGGTGGGAATGTACCTGCTACACTCTTAATACAATAACTGTGGATGGTAGGAAGCGTGGGGAGAGTGGACCATGCAGTGTCCAAACTTGTAAATTCTGCCTGAACAGCTTCTCTGGGTGCTGCTGTTGGAGACAGAGTCTGTGACTAAATAGATCTCTCATCTGATTCACTGGGACATCTTCTCCTGGGTCAGTTGCATCTCTGAACCACAGTTTATCTCTAGGATGAAAGGATAAAACCTGTTTTCTGTACAGGATAAAGCCTATGCACTTGTATACCCTCACGTACGTCTAATAGGAAAATTATGCAGAAATGGCCTACAATAGCTTAATTCTTCAGTAAAATCTATGGCTTGACATTCACTTGCTCCATGTTTTAAACTCAAATAATTGAATTGCAAGCACTCAGCTTGCCCAATTCATTGATAAGTACAGACAGAAGGGCCATGGTGCCTTCCCAGAATCCTGCCTGCAAAACACAGTGTCACAGTTCATTCAGGAGCACCTGAATCAAGGCCAGAACCTCTGGCTGAAGGAGACCTATCTTTAGAAAATCATATGACTGTGACTATATATATGTATATTGCTGCTGCCTCAGGTACACGTTCAGTTTGTGTAAGTGGAATGATGGGCATAGATGCATTCTGGTGCTTCTAGATTGAGAGCTGAAGGGTATCTCTCTTTTGGGGTATTGTAGAGGTCATAATTCCAAGAGGAGCTGGCAGGACAAAGCCTGGTGGGTGGCAGCTGGAGCAAGCTGGCTGGCAGGCAGGGCTGGGGTGTGCACATTTGTCCCACTCCCCGGGGGTGAGGAAGTCTTTGTTAGGGGAAAGTGGCAATTTCTTATTTGTTTAAGTCTCTGTCCTTAGAAATAAAAACTTCTGTAGTGAGGAAAATTACTAACCAAGTAACAGTTCCTGTACCATTGCTTACATGTCAAAGGGATAAGTGAGTTTTACACAGAAGCACAAAGGAAGTGAGTTGTTACAAGTGCCCGAATCACACATCAGGTGAACCTCGGGGCATTCGTTTCTGGAGAGAGAGAGAAGGTGCTTTCCAAGTGTTCAGAAGTCTTTCTAACACTGAAAATAGCACAGTCGGGAATAAGTGGCTGACATTAAGCAGGAACTGTGTGAACCGGAGGTAGGAGTATAAAAGTTAAGCTTGGGTGTTTACTTTGTTAGACAGCTTTTGTGTGTGTATCTATAAAATAAAGTGTATGTCCTTTCACAGAGCTCAGCTTCCTCTTTCTAACAGCTATTGCAAGGTCAAACGGTTTAACATTTCTCTCGATGTGACTTGAACTTTCACCCACTTCTGAATGTATTTCCAGCATGATGTTTATTACTCTGCTTTGTAGGTTTGATAGCAGACAGAAATACCTTTCTAACTTTAAAATCTCTGAAACGTACTGTTATCCTTTTTTTCTGCCCCACAAACTTCACGTGGTTCAAATACAGTTAATTACCATTTGCTTATTTTGAAGTAGATTCGTGAGGACTCTGATGATTAAGTGTGACCATTTCTTGTTGGGGATAATGTGTTAGCTCAGTGTATTATTAATCACTGTGAATAAAAGACAATAGGGCTGTCACTGGCTTTCAGCATATTAATGGTAAGGTTTTTTACATGTGCATGTAGAGTTTTGTCCCAGTCAGCTACAAATTTTTTTACAAGCTTGGGACTGAGTCAGTGTCCTGGCTCAGTGTGGGACTTCAACAAACGTTCAAGTATA